CTGTACAAGTATCCTGTGGTACTGATATCACAGAAGGACTGCATCTAAGATTGCAAATGTCATTGACTACCTGTTTCTCACTACTTCTTTTCTGCTTATGTATGATAAACTGTATCATGAGAAATCTTGTTATGCCTTTCCATTTGTTAGGTCTCTAAAATGAGCTGAACATGACTTCCATGAATAAGTAGAAGGATTGAGCTCTCTTAGATTTGCTAGATGAATAACCACTATCTGAGATTGTGCAATGTCATAAGAGAGGGAAATTGATTGGTATAGTTAAACTGAATTTACTGCTTTATGCCTTGATCCAAAAAGGCACTTAAGCATGGTGGTGATTAGTATAGGTGCTTGTGGTGGTCTTCATAGTCTTGAATGTTAGCTATACCATATGATACATGGACATTGTGAGTGTTATGGACATGAAATAATCTTCGGATAAAATTTGGACATAAAAAATTTTAGGAGAAAGGACTAGAATTCAAATCTTCCTTTGTCTTTTTTCTGGTGAGTACTGCAATCAAAATTTAGTTCTCTTTTTTCCTAGCTTCCTTTCTTTAAATTATTCTTATGTCTGCAAAGTTCAATGGCCACAAAAGAAAAGGTTGAGCATATTAACCACTCCTGTTTAACTTGCTGGATAACATTTTCTCCTGTGGTGTGAGAGATGTGGTCAAACAGAAATTTCCTCTTGGGTCTTTTATACTTTAGGTTAATTCTGTAACTTTCCATTATCTGTGGATGAACTAGCAGAGGTACTTATGTAGCTTCTATCAGGGACCACTAAGGCTTATAAACTGTGGTTCAATATGGACTGATAGCAGCCGTATTGTTTCTGGAAGCTGAAATCAGGTCTGGAAGTATTATAGCTTCATTATGTTACTACAGGACATAATGGATGTCCCATTCCTGGAAGTGTTCAAGACCAGGCTGGATGGGGCTTGGAGCAACCGGGTCTAGTGGAAGGTGTCCCTGCCCATGGCAGGGGGGTTGGAACTAGATGATCTTTAAGGTCCCTTCCAACCCAAACCATTCTATGATTCTATGAGCTGAAGATGTGGTGCAGGCACACCCAATACCACTGCTTTGTTCCTGAAGGATTGATACTATCTGGTTTTTTTCCATTTGTATATATCCCAGTTTCCCATTTTCCAGATAATGAATAACTGACTGTGCTGTACACCAGGAATGGGGTGGAGAAATGACATCACCTTATTCTGGGGCCCTTTTTTGTTTTCCTATGCATTTTGACTTACCAATGCCCTTAATGCTGGGACTATCTACTGTGCAGGGAAGCTGTAGGCACTTAGTGTCTTTGAGAACTCCAGTGCTTTGCAAAATGTTAAGTTGGCTACTGACCCCAAAAGCTTTTGGTGTGGGAAAGTGTTGAGAGAGAAAAAGAGAACAGATGGAAACTGATAGACGTCCCACTGCTGTCTCATTTCTTTGGGAAACCAGGCTAAAAATAAGTTGAAAACTTGGGGACTGATGCTTCATTGTAAGTGAGGGCCCAAATCCCTTGGCAGTCATTCTCTCTCATCCAAGAAACCTTTAGGTGGACTCAAAGACCTGTAGTTTTGTGAATTGGAACTTTAATGTAGTGAACTATTACTGTATTTCTGCTGTAAAATGATAATCTATTGTTTCAACCATAGGTATATATGTTGGAATACATATATTCGCTGTGTGGAACACAAGAGAAATACATTTGAGCCAATACCAATAGGCAAGAGTGTGTGTGTGTGTAATAGCATTGAGTGCATACCAAGAGATATTTACAATTTGTAGTTCAGTCTTACACCTGCCATTAGCATAATATGCAATAGGATAATGTTCTGAGTTGGTGACCTCTTAGCTTCAGTCTTCCTTATTTTGGCAGTCCACTATGACCCAGCTCACTGACCTCAGTCTGCTGTACATAGAAGGAAGGTATTGTTCAGAAATGGGGCTTGCAAAGGAAGCAAATCAGTCTGTGTAGTCTAGAAAACCTACAATCAATTAATGTTTGAGTAGTGGTAATCTGAATAGCATGATATGATCTTGCTGAAAGCAAGACACAGTGATGACACCTGTCATCTTTTATTTTGACTTTATTCCTTATTTTTCGTTCTTAACTTTCTTGATGTGAGAGAAACAGGAGCATGCGTGCTTTGTGCTCCTTAGGCGTAAGTAGGTAAAGCTACCAGGGTGGAATGAGCTGTAGTGTGTTTCACCACGCGTACTACCAATGAAATAATGCACGCATTTCTCAGGCTATCAGATGTGTGTGCACAAAGCTTGAAAATGCCTCCTCTGCAATCTAAATGATTGCTCACATTATATTATGATTTATTAGGCTTTAAAATTGTTTCTGTAAAATTACTGTAAATAGCTCAACCCTGAATTCTTCAACTTAAAATGCTCTGATGTCATTGTGTTTTAACTAGCTTTAGAAAACCAGCAAGGTTAAACTGAACAAAATTACCTTTTGATATAAACAGCTGTAATGTTTTTCTCCAGACCTTAGATGAAGGGAGCTGTAAACATGCTTCTGAAATTATTCTCCTACCTAGAAGTTAAAAATAGAACTTAAAACTCACTCTAGTTCAGCTGCTGTTATGGGAGTTGAAGAAGGAATCAATTGAAGTGCTATGACCAGAGTTAAGCAGAGAGTCATATTTAGATGATCAGACAAGCTTCTTCTAGTCTTAAAACGTAGAGATCTCAGAAAGTTGTATGCAACTTCTATAGAGTGAAAATAAATAGCCATGTTTTTATTTTTCTAGTCTTTGGAAATTAGATGAAATAATTAGAAATTACAGGAAAATTTGTGGCATTCCAGTGAGAATAATGATTTTTTTCAGTGGTTTGCCTATGGGCTTTTGATACCAAAATAGTAACAAGATTGAAAGTACAAAGAAGTTTGATTTAATATTCCTTTAGGGAGCTGTCCTGAAGAATATGTAACAATCTGCTTCAGACAAGCAAATGTGAACCCAAAGACATTTTCTAAATACCACATTCTTCCAAGCATTCACATATAATTGCATGACTGCCGGTGACAATCTCATTCAATTGTTAAAGGAAATAATTCTGGCTGCATCTTTGAACAGATGGGTAAAAATGGGGTGTGTATTAAGGCCAGAATAAATTGGCTTGCTTTGAAGAGGTCAGCAGATTACAGTAATCTTCACTAGCCAAAACAGAGCATTAGACATTTGGAACTATACCCAGGGCATTTTTTTTTTAATCTGATCTTTTAGAATGTTTAGCTAACTTGTAGAGGCTATACTCAAGCTGATGACATCTGTATTGGACATGAGATTTTCCTGCTTTGAAGATATGGTTTAGGGATCATTGTTTCTAGCATAAACAACTACTTGTTCAAAGGATGCAGCATTTTGAAAAAGTGATCTAAAAATGAAGAACAAAGAATGGAAGTCTTCCATATGATTTTCTATGGAATTTGTAGAATTAGTCATGCTTGACACTTTCATATGCAGAATGTAAGTACCGTTTAGCAGCTGTTCTGGAAAGAGAATTCATGTGTTTCATGAAACTTTGGTTTATTACTGTTCATTATAAATATTATCTTGAACTAATTTTTTTTTCTACTTGACTAAATATTGTGCTATCTCCAGTCTATAATGCAAGAAGCTAGATTGCATCTTTGAAGTTCCTTTGAGGTTTAGGCTGTAAATGGATTATAGAATATTAGAAAAATCATTCTATGTCATACAATTCCTGCATCCATTTACAGTCATTCGTTTTAAAATTAAGGATATTTAGATTTAAAAAAGCATCCATTTTTACTTAAATTCTCTCTTTATTAATTTCTGAAGAAAAGTATAATCCTGCAATGGTTCTATGTCTGTAACTTTCCATACTGATACTACAGTCTTAGACCCTTAGGAGTCTACCTATATTAAGGATAGTGAAGTCAAGTTTAAGTTTGGCAGGTTATGGAAGGATCTTTGGGGTTTTTTTATGCATATATTCTGCATACAGTATATGCACTCTACCAAACCCATGCTTTTTATGTCGCTGCACATTTATTCTGCCACAAGCTCCCAGAACAAAACAGCTAACTGATGCCACACACAGAAGGGCTGTAACCCAGGAGTCTAATCACTGTGGTGGAACAATGCAGTTCAAGCACAAGTGAAGTACAGGAGCAGGCTTATATGTATTTTGACGTGAACTCTGACTTAATTGTGCTTGTCATGGGCTGTGTTTGTGCCTCATTTTATTTTTCCTGCTGTCCTTTATTTTATTTTCCAGGTATATCTGTTAGAAATATGGGTGATAGGGTTATTGTTATGCTCCAGTGTGCTTTAATAGCTTCCAACCAACTATTTTTCTAATTCCATGCAATTACAGGTGCTAGGCATAGATTCAAGAATTTTTGTCGTCCTTGTCAGGTATTCCCATTTTCAGGTTTTGTTCGTCTATACCTGGTATATCACCTTCCAGAGTGACCAGATCAGACATTCAATAATATTTGTATTGCAAATATACAAAGAAATGCTGTCAAGCTGTGTATGTCTGTTCTTGCAAACTTCATAAAAAATGCAGCGAAGGGGATTGTCCATCTGTTCCATTGTAATGCAGTTTATGGTCTGTATGCTTTTTAGCTCTGAATTAACTTCTAGGAATTAATTGAAACATTTTTCTCCACTGAATTTTATTTTAACATTCCCTGTCATTAAAAAACTTAAGGAAATATATTTTTAACTTACTGAAAAGATAGCAGGCAAAAGCATTTGATTATGAGACCTAAAAAATGATAGCCGGTTAGAGCTCTGGATCTGTTTCACCAGCTTGCCTTCCTTTTGTTAATCAATATAATGAGTGTTTCCAAACTATATTCTAATTTGTATTTACATGCATTAAATTTAGATAGGTGTGTATGAAATATGAGCAATGATGTTCTTAGTTGGCAGTTTCTTTCAGTTCAGTTTTATTTATTTGTCTAGCAGTAAAGCATTAATATGAATTAGTGTATTTTCTCATATAGTAAGAATATATTTTTTTTTTTTAAGGTTTTTTGAATGATTCAGTTACTAAATGCATTGTGGCTCTACGCTTGACTGTGATAGTGAAAGTCGGTACCTGCGTGCCTGTGGGAAGCGATTCGGATTACTTCCAGTGTTCGGGGAAAGGAAAATGTATCACCAAACCAGATGAGGTAAGGTGAACTTATCAAGACCTTCTCATAGTGTGGAAATTCCATGATAATATAAACACAGGGTAAATTGTACTTGGTCCTCTGAGTGTGTACATACCTTGCTGCTGTGTAATAGGCCTCAAAAGCTCATAGATGTTCCTAAATAATAACACTTTATTTATTTGCTATTCCTAAAAATCAAGCATTTAAAAGTAAGAAAATGACTGATATGAGATGCAAAGATTCAAACCCTGCCCTGGCAATAAAAACAATTATTCAAATTAGGTATAAGGTAATGTGTACTGCATCTTACTGTCACTATACAAGAACATTTCTTTGTCAGATGAGAAGCATGTGGTGGGCACCCCAATCTCCAGACCAGTGCGTTCCAGTTTAAGTCTTCAACCTTCTTTTGGTTTTAGGTCTGATTTAATCTAGTACTTATCTCTTCGCGTCTCGATAATTGCTTGCTCAGAAATCACTGATCAGTGCAATGGGATTGTCTGAGCATAATTATGAGAAGAAACAGAAAGGAGTAATTTGGTAATGTTTGGAGGTTTTCCTGTATGACTTTCTTCTTTACATAATACTACATTGAGAGATTACAACAGTGACAGCAATTCCACTGGCCAGTGTGAATTTTTTGTGCGATCTAGTAACATGAGAAAATAAGAACCAAATATGTTAAATTTGCAGTCTGTATACTGCTTGTACAAAACCAGACTGGCCGCTTGTGAATGATATCCTGTATTCTCTGTTACCTTCTATACATGTTGATTTTATTTCACGGATTAAAAGTAATTTACAGCCCAAATATGTGCAGTTAATCTTTGGTTTTATTAATATTCATTTGGGAGATAAAAGCAATAGTAACTGTTGAGTAAATATTAACAGCTGTGAGCCTGCTGTGAGCACAGAAAATTTGGCATATTTAGGGAATTCACTGTTAGTTCATCTGCTACCATTTTCTGATTTAAATTCTCAATAAGCATGTTTGATAGAAAAACGTTTTGAATTGTAACAACAATAATTAAATTGCTACAGTAATCTATATATATATATGGCAGTGCTAACATCTGGAAGAATTAAGTATCTACTTTAATTCTCAAAAATGAAATTTTAAAATGCTTGAGGTAATGTGTGAACACAATTATTGCAAGATGCGTTTAGAAGTAAGTGCTACTCTACGATACCAGCTGGCTGGTATCCAAATAAATTATTCGGATACAGTGTCCTATTTCATAGTCCAGTTTAGTTTTTCTGCTTTACTATATTTAACATTTTTATTTTATAAATTCAGTATCTTGAATTTGATTTATGTAAATAATATGTTCAAATTTACTATATATAACACCATATCAAAATGTCTTTTTTTCCATTTTTTGTCGAGAGTTAAAGCCTTTGATAAATGTCTTATTTTCTATTTTTTTATGCTGTTTGTCCATTTTTATGACTCTAATTTCTTTCTCTTATTGCATGTCATATGTCACAAAATGAAAATAAATTACTTCCTGTGTCTATACAGAGGCATGAATACTTTTCTGTATTAAGGAAAATGCATATATGGCCTTTAATAATTATCCATGTTTTATAAATCTTTGAGACATGGTGAGCAAAATAAAATAATATTTAAAAAGAAAGACAAATTGGCTTTATGGTAAGAAAGAGGAGCTATTGTGTCACTCAAAAAAAAGAGAAATCAGTACCTGTATGTCCACACCTGTAATCTTGACACTGAAAGTTTTATATGTTAACACTAGAACTGTTAGTGATAAATGACCCCCTCTCATGCACATCTGGTATGTTGCTTTCCCTGGAAATGAATAGAAAAATTTAGGATTGTTCATATCTTTCCACCTATTCTTCCTCTGAACTAAGAGTAATAACAGGAAAGTTTATTAAGGTAGTGTTTTGGATGTAACATGCACTCAGCTGTAGTTGACCGACACCCCTGTGGCTGGAGCTGTGGAGCATAGAAGTCATGTTGAAGTCCATTTCTGAAGAGACATCTATCAATTCATGGTAGTCAGAGAACTGGAATTAGCAGGATTCTCAATATCTCTTATCTTCAAATAAAATTTTAACTTCAGAAAAGTAATTGCTTTTATTTTCACTGTCACAAACTGCTGCTGAATTTTCTAGAAGTTGAACAAATGAAAAATGTCCACAGTGATCCTCTTGAGTGCCATCAAACCTATGCCAGGTAGCCTGCTGAGCTGGGGTAACTCACTAAAACCTCAGGTAGTGTTTCCAAATGTAGATAATTTATGTACAGCTTCCTACTCCAGAGGGAATAAATATGTCATGTTGTCTGTTCGTCCATAGTGGTTTTTTTAATTTGTCAGTTTTCCTTACGCTTTAGCCTATTAGTTGCATAATAGAACTTCAGCCAGGAATCTGATTCAGGCCCAGCATAAGCAACATAGGTAAAAATGGAAGGTGCATATTTCATTAAGCAGAGTCATTTTGCCATTGTTTAACTCATCTTAGGTAACATATGTCCTAAAATGTCTTCGTGATTTCCCTAACGATGGGAAAGCAACTGCCAAAATTACATGCTTGACGTGTACCAACCGTTGTGTTGGTTTCCCACAGGACACATCTTCTGCACTTCTTTTTGCAGAACCGAAACTTTAATTTTCTTTAAGTTTACAACATGCCCTTTGTGATTTGCTGTTTGTTTTTATCTATAATTCATTCTGTTTTGCACAATCTAGTCTTGCAGGATGCAAAGCAACTTCTTAGAAGAAAGCTTATTTATGGTAGTAGGCCTTTTATGCAAAGAGCTCTGCTGGCTGTAGTCATTCCTTCCAGTGCCAAGAAGATTAATGATTGTCTTCGTGTTTTTTATGTAATTCATAGTTTTATTCCAAATAATGTAAAAGAATGTAGTAACACATCTGCTTAATGGGAAAGTTAAATGTAATTAACAATCTGCAGTGATATAAGTGCAGTAGCATACTGTTATCTATGGAACGCATAAAACTAAACAAATGAATTCTGGTCTAACCTGAAAGTCTTGGCCAGTTTTTACTCATTCCCTACTTATACATCACTTAGCTTCTACTCAGCTAGATGCCTTTTATAGAGTGTGGATATGAAATGGAAAACTTTCAATGGCAGAGTTTCATTTTCTATTATTGTTGCTTTTGAAAGGAACATAAAATTCACCACTTTGTTCAAAGTTCTGTGAAGTGAGGTGATGCTGAGTCAAAGTAATGCCTTTTCCTTCCTTTGTATGAGCTTTGTATCCCTGCTTTGCTGCCATGGTTGCCATTCTTCCACAAGGGAAGCAGGAATGTGTCAGAAGGATAACACTGGTCTTGGCATCATCGCAGTATAAGTATCACTTTCACATCTACATACACAGCTTTAGACCAGCATAAGTTGTCCTCAGACCAGTTAGCTGTGAATGGAAGAGAAAAATCTTGGTATTAACCCAAAGAGAGAGATTTGTTTGTTGTGAACTTCTGATTCTGTGTAGAATTTTAAAGTCATCTTTGACCATCCATTGGATTTGAGAGCCACAATTTTGCTTACTTATGGTGATAAATTGTTTCCTTTCACAGATTGCTCTGTTCTGTTACTTCGTCTCTCCCATGTAAAAAATGGAAGAGCTGACTGTGTAAATATGAAATTTTATTGCTAGAATTAGAACCCTTGGGATTTACACAAAAATAACTGGCCTCTGCCTGCACTGAGAAATAATGTATTGAACTGAATAGTGATGATTTCCATGTCTTCTATATGGGCTAGAAGCTTTGGGGTAGAGCCACTTGATTATATTTGTAGAAAGGCTAATTATACAACAGCCTTATATATACCTAAAGGCATGCTCTCCTGCATATGGAATTAGTTTTCTAAGTACAATAAACTCCAAAATACAAAACATGTAATTATCATACAGCAATGCTTTGCTCAAATATTACAGCAGCTCTCTGTGAGTTGTAATAAATACTGTTATAAATACTGTTATAAATACTGTTATAAATACTGTTAAATACTGTTAAAGTCTTTCTCAGCAAGCGAAAGAGTAGATGTTCGTTTTGTTCTGGTCATCTTAACAGCTACTTTACTATATTTAAAAAGAAAAAAAAAGAAAAAAGGTGAGCTGTTATGGTCTCTCTAGTCTGAAATTTAGAATCTGGTGAGAACGTTATCACACTGCTCACTTAAAATAAGGGAAAAAAGTACTATATTCCAACTAGATTTATAATATGATACTTACAGACAATTGTATTGGATAATAGCAAATTATTTTAAAGAATTTATTTTATTGCCATCCAAATGATGGCGTGTGATAGATTTGCACTCCCAATAATCAAGTAAAATACACAGATGAACTGTCTATTAATAGTAGATTGTCTTGGAATTCTTAGTGACTTAGTGTGTAGTTTCTTCTTGACTTAGTTTTCCTCAAATATGCTAGACCATGTCATCTATTCATGAAAAAAATTAATAGTATCATTTGGGAAAAGTGAAGATGACATGCCTAATAAAAATGATGACACCTAATCTTCTGTACAGAATAACTTGTCTGCATCTCAGAACTGTTATCTGTCATTAGACATTTCAGTTTCAAGTGTTACAATGCTTTTCTTTTTGCTTTTAAAACGCATTTTGTTAAATACACTTTATGGTAAATTGATCCCTATATCATACTCTTAGAGAGATATCAGTGTTATCTGAGCTTTTCTTAACTTCCGATTTCATTCATATTGTTGAGGCAATGACTGATTGTTGCATTGTTTAAATACATTAATACTTACATTATAATGTTCAGCTTCCATTGCTTCGAAATGAGATTTTAGTGCAGGCAAAGCCATGCTGTTTGTGCCTGTGTGGACAGTACAGACATTCCCTTCCTCTCTGATGAACGGTTCAGGTAGTGATGTACTTTGCATCTTACTCTCACATCTAGCATAAAACAACCATGAACCTGAGCCTACCTAACAAACATGGTACCTTTATGTTTTGACAGAGTTAACTTTGATGAGATGGTAGACTTCTTGTCTCTCTTGCTTAGGGATGTCTTTAGCATCAGACAGATGTAGATAAGCCTGTTCTCATTTTCAGTGCATACGCAAGGACCAGAAACACATTTAAATGACATCAAGACTCTGATCGCTTCAGACAGGGTACAGAAACTAGATACAGTGCCTGTATCTTTCCCTGTGCTCTATTCATGTCCATTTTAAGAAACAAATGCCATTTTTTTTCATATGGTGTCTCACTCTGTTCATCCGGAACAGGTGAGTTCTGGAGACAGACAGCAACCTTGATTTTGTATGAAGTCTAAACTCAACACTCCATTCCAGGAACGCTAACAAACACTTTAAGTCAATAACATAATTCCATGTCTGTAAAAGTTAGAACAGCTGTGAAGGGTGCTGCAAGCAACATGTTCATGTGCACTCTTTACCTGGGTCCTGATCCTAACATGTGCATGATGGTACTGCATGACTCAGATGATATGAGATGTTGAGGACACTAACTTTGAACCACTGATGACTGTTGTCTTTAGGGACCAAAGTGATCCCTGTGCTGATGTGTTTTCCACCAACGCTATATAGAAATGTGGAAATACTCATTGTCTATTTAGTTAATTGTTTAGTTCTTAAATAAAAGTGATTATCTGTTTCACTGTTAGCCACTTCCCTGTGTAGCTCATATGAATTAGCTTCAAAGTAAGTTACTATGCTATGTGATTATAATAATTTTTGACTGGGTTTTGCTTGCCTGTTGTCCTGGTTTTGGCTGGGATAGAGTTAATTTTCTTCCTAGTAGCTGGCATAGTGCTGTGTTTTGGATTTAGGATGAGAATAATGTTGATAACATGCTGATGTTTTAGTTGTTGCTAATGCTAGTCAATGACTTTTTAGCTTCCCATGCTCTGCCAGGTGCACAAGAAGCTGGGAGGGGGCACAGCCAGGACAGCTGATCCAAACTGGCAAAAGAGCTATTCCATACCATTATATAAACTGGGGGGAGTGGGCTGGGGGGCAGCGATTGCTGCTTGAGGACTGGCTGGGCGTCAGTCAGCAGGTGGTGAGCAATTGCATTGTGCATCACTTGTTTTGTATGTTCTTTTATCACTACTATTATTATTATTATTATTTTCCTCTGCTGTCCTATGAATCTGCCTTTATCTCAGCCCACGGGTTTTACTTTTTTTTTTTCTGATTCTCTCCCCCATCCCACTGTGGGGGGGGAGGGTGAGCAAGCGGCTGTGTGGTGCTTGGCTGCTGACTGGAGTTAAATCATGACACCTGTCTTTCCTTTCTGTTGAACTACAGCCTTGTTTGGAAACCTGTCATTGATAAAGTGTGAGATATTCAGAGCCGTTTTGTGAAGAGGCTTGGCCAGATATCAGAACATGTATAGACCATACACTTAGACTTCTGGCACTCCAGATAAATAACATACCCATCATTTTCAGTTTTGGAGATGTATAGTATTAATCCTTGTTTAAACTCTACCGGTGAAATATTTTTAAGGAAGAATGAAATCTGGGTTTTACCAAGTAAAGTTTTTTATTTGCATGAAGATGATTATTTTCTTTTCTACTTAGGTCACAGCTGTTTATTCACATGAAACAAACATAAGTAAAAAATAGAAGATAAAGTACTAACCCCATCTCTTTGTTTCTAGTTCCATGCACATTCTGTACTTTGTATTACAATGTTTGCACATGGGACAGCTTCGTTCCAGCCCTAATGATCTGGCTTTGAAATGTATGAGAGTGAGTGATGTTGCCATCTAGTGTTTAATGAACAAAGAAAGAAAGATATTTAATCTAAATGTATAGTACAGATGAGAAAGCTTTCCTTGCTTCCATTTTTTGATACTTCCTTGGCAATCTTACTGACCGAAGAATTTTTTAAAATCTAATTATAATTATTCTATTACTAACAAAAATGTGTTGTGTCATGCCTACTATAGGTATTGAAGATCTTTAACAGCCATAGCATTCTTGGTCTTTTATTAAGCAGCAAGGTTTGGAGAAAGTAACAAATATGTTCAGAAGACGACCTGTTTTAACAGAATTGAAGGGGTGTGTCACTACTGAAGTACCACAGAAGTGAGCCTCTTGGGACCCCAGCCTTGCCCTTTACATAAAGGGTGCATCTTTGTAGTAGGATTTTGTTGTGGTAAAACTGCACATATTCTGACAATTATTCTGGTCTATAAATGTAAAAAATATCTGTAGTGATTTAGACATTATGGATCTGTTCCCAGCCTCCTTGTCTAGATAAAAATCCCAGATATTAAAAACTTTAGATGAAGAGTTGGTGCAGGTTTAGTGTTTCAAAGAATAACTTTATGCAGTTGATGTATTTACGGTGCTACTGTTTTTACGAACAGGAGAACAACAAAAACATCTTTGTTCAGTAGAGTATTCAATGAAAACATAATCTTTGAAAATTCATTGTGAAGTACATACCCTGTTTGTTTTTAGGCAACTTTTTTCTGTGACTGCGAGGATGAGTATCAGGGTTCCCTGTGTGAAGAATTTGATGCTTGTCAGAGCCAGCCCTGTCAGAACAACGCAACCTGCACCGATGTAGCACAGAAACATGATGGGAACAATTTCACCTGCAGCTGCCCGGCTGGTAGGTTTTGTATTACACTTTGAATAATGCATTTTTGTTTTCACATTCAGTGCATATCTTTTGCAGAGCAGTGAACAGTGCATCTTCAGATACTAGGAAAGAAGGAAAATACAAAAACAACATACGGGCAGTTTTTAAAAGGCTGTAGAAGATTCTTCACCTGTGAACAATGCCACTGAAAGCACACATCCAAACCATAACCTAATGAGTGAATTATTCATAACTAATAGAACTTTACCTACTAAGAAAAGATGACCAAAATTTAGTTTACTTTTTTCTTAATCTGTTTTTTTCTTTTCAATAGATATTTTAAGTATGCATTATAACTAACCTTTCAATAAACATGCTTTCATTGTAACTAGTAAACTCTTTTCTTCAGTTGCACCAATCAAATGGAAGAAAATTCTCTCCACACTATGCAGTTGTTGGATTGTTCCTCAGAATCAACTTAGGTTTTGAAAAATTTTTAAAAATGCACAAACTAATCTAATTTGTGGGTTTGATTAATGAACAAGTGTCTGAAGTTATTTTAAGAACATTTAAGAACATTTGCTTTCAAAATTTGATCAAATGAATATAGATGTCTTAATTGAAATTAAAATTAAATACAATGGTCACATGCTGGAGGGTAAATTAAACATACATGCTGATGGAATAACCTTACAAAATGGCTGTTAGAAAACTCTGCTATCTGAACCTTGCATTTCAAAGACAAACTCAATTATCAAAATGGAACAGTTACTTCAATGTGTATTTTCTGAAATTATTTAAAAATAAAAGTTGGCTAAGATTAAGATCAGTAGCAGGTAATTTATTTTGCTTCCTACAAATATTTTACTGTACATTTTCATTTCTGTAATGTATTGGCTGATAAATTATGAGATCATTTACTGGTCAGTTGGTATTAGAGAGAAAGGGGACTTATCTGAAGGGGGGGAAAAAAAAAAAGAAAGAAAAGAAAAAGGAAGATGCTTCCAGAACAAGTCCTGAGATCTGAAGAATATAAAAGCTATATCATAAAAGGCAGAGGGAGAAATGAATGATATGGTCAGGTTTCTAGCGATTGTGTCTAAATGGTCATTGAATGTCATTAATGCTGGGTGGGTATTTGTGTGCATTAAATGTATATAAAAGGTACATGTGGCAATACTTCCTTTATTCTTTCCCAAAGTGGGATCATGGAGTGGGTGTTCTTATGTTCCCTTAAAGATGGGAATATGCTTATTCTTTACCCTAACGCATGTCAGCACAGACTAGAGAAACTTCTAGCTGCTCTAGATTGTGTAAGTACCACCCTGAAAAATGACTGAGCCAGAAGCAGGTGGATGCAAATGATGCTTTTATGTGGCTGCTATGTACTGCCCTCTGCACTGTTTCATGAATGACACAGTTCAGAAAATCAGCAATGGCAAATTATTAAGGCCCCCTTCATTCTCTCCAAAGGCCAAGGCATTTCCTTTTAATTATACTACTTCTGCCTCTAGGACTTCCACTTTTTCCTCTCTTTGCTTAAAGTCACTATAGCAAATGTGCAGCAAGAAAGGGATTTATATTTGGGTTTTTATATAATGACCTAGTTTTATACTGCTCTGAAAATACGATGTGATGTTCTTATCTACGTGTACTCTATTCTATTTTATAAGTTTGCCAAAGGATCAACTGTCACTTTAACAAGATACGTAAATACAGTTGAATAAGGATTTAAATTTGAGAAGAGAAAGATCAGAGTGGAACAAACTTCAAATGTTTGAATCCCTACTGTTATTGTCATGTTGAATATGGTTGATTCAGAATTCTTTTGGATTTTGATAAGTAGTTTCTAATTAGAAAAGAAAAAATGTATTTGTTATGTTTGTGTGTTTTATTGACTTAGCTATCTTGGAAAATGTTCTACATCAAGTACTATTAAGCTAAATTTCTTTTTTCAAATTCCCTTCCTCAGAAGAAATACAAGAATGATTCTAAAAACCCTGCCCGAATTCATGAAAACAAGTTTTTTATCAGAATATAATTTTAATATAAAATATTTTTCACATACTTCAGAATTCTTGGTGTTAGTTGTGTAGAAAAGCTTTAGGGGGAATATTTATGATAATTCTGATGTGCTTAAAGCCTAAGAGTCTTTCCACTAGGAAAACTTAATATTTTGAAGTTGTACAGCTAAGTTTTGCAGAGTAACATAAATATACTTCCCACTTACGTACAAGATTTCAGAGGTAAGCATTACTGTGTTGTTACACTCAGATCAAGTCTGTGATATTTTCTGCTTCTACTGGGAAATTACAAATTGTAGTGCCTTGATAAAGCAAATGTTACTTTATTTGCATAATAATATAAAATCCTAAGGGTTTTTTTGGTTACCATGATCCCAGATATCTGCCTCAAGTGCTTACTTATTTTCTTTGAATTCGGCCTCTCTATTTTCTTTAAAAGCTCCCTATGAGTTAAAAAAAGTAGTCAGGGACAGGCATTTCAATTGCTTGCTTCAGAAAGTGTTAAGGTGATTGTAGAAAAATTGATACCATGAGATATCCAGGAAACAATGACTAAGATAATGACAATTTCTTGAACAAAATGAATTTGTCTTACATATTTTTGGAAATATAATATATTTCCATTGATGTCTTTATTGCCTTTTAACTTTGGATTTTATCCTTTCCATTTAAATACTGTTTCTCTAAAATATAATTTATACGTTACTATTTTCATAATTGTTTCTTCTCCTTGTCTCTAGAACAATTGTTAGCTCCTATTGGGGGAAAAAAATTGTCAAAATTCTAAATATTTCCTTCTACAAAACCCCTCCTAGTTCTCATGGCATAAAAAAAAAGCTTACAATAAATGGAATGAAGTTATTTGGTTTCCATATGTGCAGGCTTTCCTTCTGAATGACAGTGTGTTCAAGTCCCTCTGTAAATCCTCAGTAAGACAAATACAGTTAGCTTAATTTATTACATTCTAGAACTAGCTTCATGGCCTCAACACTTATGTTTAGGTCTAGCTTTTAAGTTTTTAAAAATAATTTTCCTTAATTTTTTTTAATAGCAAATGTCTAATGTTATTCAGATGGCTTAATCATTGTTAATTTAAGTGGCTTGTGTTTCTACCCATAATTCTCCCTCGACCCCAAATTTGTGTCCACACATCAAAAAATAGTCAGGAAAACTAGCTGTTTTCATATAATTATTAATTTCTAAAAAATGGTCATTGCATATGGAAAAATATTAAAGAAAGTGGTAAATAAGAGTTTAATTATTGTAAAGTCTCCATATGCAAGTTTCAGAAACATTTGTATGTTTCCCAAATCTTGATAAAGGAAATGTTACGAAGATAAGTATCAGCACAAAATGAATAGGTGTAACGATTCTTAAAGAGTATCTCACCAGCAAGCTGCTTTTTTTTTTTCCCCTCCATGGTGATTGCTTAGCACCTCCTAATTTGTAGCTCTTGTGACATATTTGCTATGAAATTCCTGAATTGTATTCTCTTTCAGATGGACAAAACATGCCCTATAGATAATAATAATATTTATTTCTATAAAGCTGATGTAAAATATTATCTCTGAGTTTTCCCACAAGCTACAATGACAATTGCAGGAAGTCAGATTCCTGTAGCAAGCTTCAGAGCAACACAATCATTTCTGCCTTTCTGTGCCAACATTCTTTTGGATACATGTTGAATTCCAGTGTAATTATTAGCTTTCACAAACTTGGTAACAGTTTGAAGATGGAAAAATGTTTAAATTAGTTAAGCATATTCAATACTGTATTATGATTCATAAAAATAATCAGCTGACTGTGAGAAATTCAAAAAATATGAAGCCTATAGATAAAAAAAATCAGTTGATGGAGTCTTCTATAATAGTTCATTGCTGCTTTTGTAAATTTTACGTTAATTTGAGACCAATTAGAATTACAGAAAATCACTAGCTAGCCAAATTGAGGCTCATGTCCCTCCAAGTGCCTCAATCTGGTCCAGAGGAGCTACCTCACGAGAGCACAGTTCTGGTTTTCAACCTCAGTATTTTTCTCCAGTTTAGGTGATTTATGCACATTAATCTAGATGCAACATATGACAAAGTTTCTTCTTCCAGGTTTTGCATTGCAGAAAATGGGATCATAATTTATCTCTCTATGGCATATAAAAGCAGTAAGGTACACGGAGAGGAAAGTGTTATACATCCTCTTCTATAATAGTGCTCTAGCAACTCCAAATATAACAGTCTATGTTGAGAGCTATTTTATGGTGACATCAATAGACTTGAACAGGTATAAATATTAGACTGCCCGAAAGACTTATAAATGTTAATTTGGATTGCATTAAAAAGAATAATTTGATTGAAATAAGAATTTTTCTTTCCTCCTTCTTCCTTTTTCTCCCCTGCATAAGCAAAATTCTAGTCCAGGCATGTCCTCTATATCACCTTGGGGTCTTTGTCTTAGATACCTGTTCATAGCAGTGTATTAACAGGGACACCTAGTTGTAGCTGACCAGTCTTTAACACCAGCCATTGTGTTAAACATGCTTGTTATGGAAGATATTTACAATTTTCTATAGGGTTTCTTTTAGAAAATAAAATGCCTGTGTATGTAGTGTGTAGTTTCTTCTTCAGTCATGCATCCAAGATAGTTTCTTGGAGGTAAATAAAAATTAGAAAGGGGAAAGTGTGGTATTTGTTAAGGAATTTAAGTTTGGAGTGTTTAATCATTTAGATTGTGTTTTGTAAGTTTGTTCATTTTTTGGGGATTTGTTATAGACATCAGACATATGGAACAAAGCAAACTTATGGTCAAATAGTACAGTACACACAATCTGTAGCTTGTGAACATACAGGATCTTATTTGGAAGAGTTTGCAACTGTGCTGAGCAGTTCTTCACAGCTCCCACTTAAAATAAACACTCTTTTTGAAGCCCAGAAGTAGGAACAAATGACAGTCATTCAGCATATGCACAAATAAGTCATAATGTCAAGTCTTGTTTAAAGTCTTGCTAAAGATTATTGACTTGAGATTCAAGATGCATTTGAAAACCATTCAAAAATGACTTCTTTTTTGATTATATGGGTGCTGATGAGACCCAGCACCAACCTCTGTTATATTAGTGCTGTCAGAGTATTGCTGCTGGTAAAATACAATTGATACAATCTCTAGATTTCCACTAGTTATTTATGTTTCTCCAGTGAAGTGTAAGTTCTAATTAAAAATCTAATTTTACAAGAAATTAGAAGACTGTCCTGGATTCTGTTTCTTACTTTGGTTAATTTTATTCAAGAAAACTAACGGTACTCTTTGAATAACCTAGTAATACATTTAGTGATAAAACCTCATTTTCGGTATATTTTCTGAATGTTGTGTGCTATTTTGTAGGTTACACCGGAGAGCTATGCCAGTCAGAGATTGATCATTGCATCCCGCAGCCATGCCAAAATGGAGGTACCTGCTCATCCAACATCAACGGATTCAGTTGTCAGTGCCCAGAAGGTAAACAGCAAAGACCTACCTAGTACCTCATACAAATTGGTGTTTTGTGGGGTGTACTTAGTCTAACTTTTCAGTTATATATCTATTTGAATATTTTAAAAATTGTGCCTTAGGCTATAATTGCAAGTGGAAAAAAAAAAATCCAGATGAGAAATCTTTGTATAATCAGCAGTAGTATATGAAGTGTGATAAGAGCTAAGTGTTTCAGTTTATATGTGGTGCAGAAATGTTCTCTCATTCTCTGGCACCTCTACAGTTCAAATCAAGCTCCAGCCTGAGAAAAGTAAATCTGAAGAGACTTAGGGTGTGGTCTGATTTTTGTGTTGTCCAGTAAATGTGTGAGAAAAAGATGCCAGATGCCTCCCGTGTAGTATTTGCATATTTCTGTATATGGGTCAGTTGGCTAAAACGTGTGCTAGAGCAATAATTCAAAGATAGTCTTCCAAAGTTTTAATTCATTCTACTTTCTATTTGGACTTACTCCTTTCTCTAGATGAAAGCCTTTCAGTGCTTCTCACTGGTAAACACTGTTAATGTAACTATGTGAAATGAGGACACCACAATGCTAAAGTGTATGTTTTCGTAACAATTTGCTGACTGGAATGGCAGATGCCTAAATTGCTCATAAAAAATTTATCAGGAGCGAAAACTCTCATTATGAAGCCTTCCATTAGTTATTTATAATCAAGATTAGAACCTTGAACTAATTATATTTCTGTTCTTTCTTGATTTGTGGATGTTGTTTTTATTCTGCCAGCACCTTATGCTTGCTCTAAGTGTACAAGTCTTTGATAACTGCTCCAGTAATATATTAATGCTTAATAATGAAGATTACTTGTAATTTCTTTAGACTGATTCCTTGCTTTTCTAGAGTGTTATGCTTTAATGAATGACCCACTTAACAGTTGCGTTGAAACACAGACACGGACATTTTGACAGCAGTACAGATCTTGCATTTGGAAGAATTTTGAAAACTGTTTGCCTTATAGTTAGTAGCAAAATTCAGTGAGAAAATTATTACATTAGACTTGGTCAATAATTTAATTGCATTTTTCTTAGGAAATTTGTTCAAGGATCTTTAAGGATGTTTTACAGGAAATGATCTTTCCAATAATAAATGTTTGGATAAACAGCTACTGGGATTTTTGGTTGTTTTAGAACTGCCATATTTGTTTCTGTATGGCATGCCTTAATTGCTTGCTCCTGATGACCTATTAATGAATATTCTGACCATATCTCAACTTCTTTCCTACTGCCATTTGAGACGCTGGCCATGGGACAGGGTTACTGGTGGGTTGAGGTCACTAGATGGCCACATCACCCATCCTCTACTGTGGCTGTGCTGTGGTGCTGCGTCTGGGATACGGTGCTTGTAGCATAGCTCTTCAGTGCCCTGCTAAAAGGCATTTACGCCTTGGTTGCTGTGCAGGGTTGTGGCTGCTCTCCTGCTCAGGGAGCTCATGCCAGCAGCAATTAGTCTGTGAACAGGAGCAGGGTAGGCTGCCAGCTCCACCTGGCCCGCAGGCCTTGGCACAGCCACAGGCAGCAGTGCTGCTCTTGCAAGGGCACCAGCTGGCTGTGCCAAGGGCCCTGCGCCATTGCCCTGTGCTGTGTGGGAGGCCTGGAGCACAGAAGAGGAAAACCTTCCCTTCATCTCCCTCCAGAGCTGTTCTCCCCAAAGAGAGTGGTGGAGAGGTTATCTGATGTGCCATTACTTGATGTGTAGCATTCTTATTGATAGCAGCTTTTCTGCTGCAGGAGAACCAAGTTACTTGCGCTTTTCTCTCCTCAGTTTTACTTGTGTTTGTCTATCTCTGTGTTACGCCACTTGGTCCCACAGTCTTGTTGCCTGCTTTGTTTCTTGAATATGTATCTTCTGCTCCTTTCTTTGCCACTTACCCATATATGTGTTTGATAGGCTTCCAGTTGTTTCTGCTGTGTGCTCTGCTTTAACTAGGCTTATTCTGGCACAGTTATTGTACTATCTTATTATTTAGGCTGTATGCTTTGTTCTTTTTCTTTCTGGGCACGTTGGTACCGTTTTATGTGTTACAAACCTGTGCTCCTTTTCTGCTTCGAGTCTTGAGGTGTTCTATGGTTTCTGGACTTTCCTTAAAGATATGATGTGCTTTTTGACCCTTCCAAAGGAAAGGAAAAAAAAATTACTTAACAACTTCAAGAACTACCTCTCTGCTCATAGATTTTGTTGATAGGCAAACATGCTTTTTGGGGCACCTGTCTGAAACATTCTGTGCAGGGTTACCAGCTCTAGTCTCCCAGTATCATTTCCATGTTTCCAAGAACAGCCATGTTATAGAGCAAGGATAGAATTGGGGGAAGAGCTGTTACCCTGAGTGCTTATTTATATGTCTTAACATGCTCATATGGTATAAATGTTTTCAAAAAGTACTGGGGCAACACCAGAAAAAAAATTTACTGAAATACATTTACAACTCTTGTTAAAGTCAGTTTTCATACATTGACCTGTCTTATTTCCCGTGTAGAAAAAGCCTTTGGAGGGGATAGAAGGTTTCAGGGATTACTTTCTGGACTGCCCAGGGTTATTTCCCTCAGAAAGAATAGTCTTGTATGCACCATGTCTGATTCTCAGTCCCTTGGACATGAGAAAATAATTCTTAGGTTTGCAGGAACGAATGCACACATGGTCGCTTCTCTTGAGTGAGCCTGTGATAACTCCATAGCAGCCCCAAAGGTTCTCCCTGACTCCCTAATAATTACCATTGTTTCAAAAAGCAAATGCTTACCATGAAGTTACATAGCTGTGCTTTCTACTCATGTCCTCACCATAAAGAGTGGAGAGTGTTGGTGCAAAAGTGACACAGTCTGTGTGCAAGGGCCAGTGCTATTGCTCTGGAGTAGCCTAATGGGCTTATTAGGTAACAAGGTGTGCTTTTCCATCTTGTTCTGGAAGATCTACTAATGCCAATGAGCTCAGGAATTCAGATACTTTGTGGAGGGAAAGAAAGTGTTGATTTAACAAAATATATTGTCTAAATTTACTAATGACTGCCTTTCCCATGATGATTCTTTATTCTTTTGAGGTATTATTCTCTCATAGATGCATAGTTTGAGAGCTTTTGTTTGGGTTTTGAAGAGATTTGGTTATTTTTGTAAATAAAACAAAGGATAGTTAATTGAAAATTGCAGATGCAATAACTTGCAGATTTGCTATTTTTAGCATGTCCTAAAATTTTCCATTAAAAAAAACCCTACCAAAACCCCATGATAGGTTTCTAATTTAAGTGAGTTCTCTTGCTATGCTGCTATTCTCCTGCTGTGCTTAATAATAATTGCTTGTTGGTAAGAGGCTTTTCTTTCTGTAGTGCTAATTCAGCACAGTGGGGGAAAGGTAGCCAAGGAGCTTATATATGTGTAAATACTAAAAGACTGGAGATATATGTGGTTAGGCAGAAAAGGAGAATAGAAGATGGAAAGTATCGCAAAGGGAAAAGAAAAAGATGGCAGAAAAAGGAATGAGATTGAAACAATGAGGAATGATCTTGAGATTGTGCGTTTCTTTTACAAATGAGATCTGTGGTTCATTAAAGAAGCATGTGATAACTTACAGAAGGTGAGATCTGAGGCACTGAAAAAGCAGCCTAGATCAGATATGAACATTGCATGATTACTCTTTAGACAATTTTACTGTCTTAAGAGTCCTTTGGTAAAGAAAACATCTTTATGCTTGTGGATTCCATTTTCTGTGTGATGCATTGTAGATTTTAATATCCAAAATATGTCAGAAAATAAACAGCTATCTGAAGTTATTGAGTCACCTGTACTAAAGAGAAAATTGGATTTTAGACTCAAATTTTTAGTGAAGAAGCTTAAGAAATACTAAGGACTGAAGAATTTGTTCAAAATTTTGACTCTATTATTGTGAAAAGGATGGTTGAGATGTTCTTACTTACAATGGGGTGGGGATCTTTGATCATCGGCTTTAAAGTTTCATGACAATAAAAACACATTTAGCAAATATTACCTTCTAATGATCATGCAGAGAAATTTCTAGACATTCTAAAAACCTACACATAGTAAACATCTGTCAACCTCAGCATGGATATTTGAAATTTATATTCAGAATGATTCCATAAATACCCATATCACTCTTAAATATCTCCTCTGATTTTCTTCCACTTATTGTAGTGAATAACATACTACTGTATTGACAGTAATATTAATTCATTTTATTTGAGTTGATTGGGGTACTGCTAATCAACTTATAAATTTGGTTACTTCATTTTCTTTAAGTCACTGAGAAGTTATGTAAATTCCCAAAGCACACTGAAGTGAAATTCAATGTATAAATAATAATTAGAAACATAAAAAAAGCTGGTTGGAATAAGCAAGAGTAATTACAATAAATGTTTCAGCGATGGTGTATTGGGTTTGCATGGCAAGGTTTTGGTAGTGGCGGTGCTGCAGGGGTGGCTTCTGTGAGAAGCTGCTAGAAGCTTCCCCTATGTCCGATAGAGCCAATGCCAGCCAGCTCCAAGATGGACCTGCTACTGGCCAAGGTTGAGCCAATCAGTGACAGCGGTAGTGCCTCTGTGATAATACAGTTAAGAAGGGGAAAAAAAAGGCCCACCCCAAAACAATGGGACACAAACTGCAGCTGGAGTGAGGAGTGAGAATATGTGAGAGGAACAACTCTGCAGACACCAAGGTCAGTGAAGAAGGAAGGGGAAGAGGTGCTCCAGGCACCAGAGCAGAGATTCCCCTGCAGCCCCTGGTGCAGCCCGTGGTGAGGCAGGCTGTGCCCCTGCAGCCCATGGAGGTAATGGTGCAGCAGATATCCACCTGCAGCCCATGGAGGTAACGGTGCAGCAGATATCCACCTGCAGCCCATGGAGGGCCCCACACTGGAGCAGGTGGATGTGCCCGAAGGAGGCTGTGACCCCATGGGAAGCCCATGCTCGAGCAGGCTCCTGGCAGGACCTGTAGACCCATAGAGAGAAATGAACCCATGCTGGAGCAGG